GATGAAGCTCCTCCGGTTTTATCCTGTGCTGATCCGGACCGTGAGGATGAAGCTCTGGTTTTATTCTCTGCCGATCCGGACGGTGAGATGAAGCTCCTCCGGTTTTATTCTCTGCCGATCCGGACGGTGAGGATGAAGCTCTGGTTTTATTCTGTGCCGATCCGGACGGTGAGGATGAAGCCCCTCCGCTTTTATTCTGTGCTGATCCAGGCAGTGAGGACGAAGCTCCTCCAGTTTTATTCTGTGCCGATCCGTACAGTAAGGATAAAGCTCTTCCGGTTTTATTCTATGCCGATCCGGACGGTGAGGATAAAGCTCCCCCAGTTTTATTCTATGCCGATCCAGACGGTGAGGATGAAGCTCCTCCAGTTTTATTCTGTGCCGATCCGGACGGTGAGGATGAAGCTCTGGTTTTATTCTCTTTCGATCCGGACGGTGAGGATGAAGCTCTGGTTTTATTCTGTGCCGATCCGGACGGTGAGGATGCCGGTTTTATTCTGTGCCGATCCGGATGGTGAGGATGAAGCTCCTCCGGTTTTATTCTGTGCTGATCCGTACGGTAAGGATAAAGCTCCTCCGGTTTTATTCTATGCCGATCCGGACGGTGAGGATGAAGCTCTGTTTTAATTCTGTGCCGATCCGGACGGTGAGGATGAAGCTCCTCCGGTTTTATTCTGTGCCGATCCGGACGGTGAGGATGCCGGTTTTATTCTGTGCCGATTCGGAGGTTGAAGATGAAGCTCCTCCGGTTTTATTCTATGCCGATACGGACGGTGAGGATGAAGCCCCTCCGGTTTTATTCTGTGCCGATCCGGACGGTGAGGATGAAGTTCCTCCGGTTTTATTCTATGCCGATCCGGACGGTGAGATGAAGCTCCTCCGGTTTTATTCTGTGCCGATCCGGACGGTGAGGATGAAGCTCCTCCGGTTTTATTCTATGCCGATCCGGACGGTGAGATGAAGCTCCTCCGGTTTTATTCTGTGCCGATCCGGACGGTGAGGATGAAGCTCCTCCGGTTTTATTCTGTGCTGATCCCAACTGTAATGTTGATGTCCCTGAAGCTGCAGTCTGTCAGACAAAGGACAGAGTTTCACCTCAGTCCAGCCAGCTGCAGGATAAGAAGACAAAAATCATTGGTAAGTTTGCTACTATAACCTCAACATAACCTAAAACACGTGCATGGTTTATGCATTAAACTGGGTTTAATATGCACTTTGTTTAATGGTAGCTGTTAAATAATATGAAAACTGTTTTTTAACATTCAATACGATTTTAAATTTAAGGTGAAATTGTATATTTTACACTGAATTGTTTTATGACCACTACAGTTCAATTAGTGTGACATGAATTTTTAGATCACTGCTTGATATTTTATGTCAATACCTCTTATTTATCTTTTCACAGACATCAATTAGTGCAGCTATGAAACTGGGGTATATTTGTAGCAATAGCCAACAAGACATTGTATGGGTCAAAATTATCCATTTTTCTTTTATGCCAAAAATCATGAGGATATTAAGTAAAGATCATATTCCATGAAGAAATGTTGAAAATGTTCTAATGTAAATATATCAAAACTTCATTTTTTATTTGTAATATGCATTGCTAAGAACTTCATTTGGACAACTTTAAAGGCGATTTTCTCAATAATTTTGATTTATTATTTTTTGCACCCTCAGATTCCAGATTTTCAGATTTCTCTGCCAAATATTATCCTATCCTAACAAACCATACATCAATGGAAAGCTTATTTATTCTGCTTTCAGATGATGTGTAAAACTTTGACCCTTATGACTGGTTTTGTGGTCCAGGGTCATATATATGAACTGTTTAGAGCATTTAACCTGTCAGACTTGTTAAAACAAGCTTAGAATTTAAATTCATGACAATGTACATGTTTGTTCACAGTTAATGATTGAAATTAGATGAATTCTGCACACAAATGAATTGTAAATCTTACACAAATCTATTTTTTGTTTTGTTGATCAGGTGGCAGTAAAATTAGCCTCCAGCAGGAACACGTCACTGTTTTCAAAATCTCATATTAACATTAATCACAGTCTATAAATGATTTTTCAACAGACTATCTATCCTTGTCAACAGTTTGGTCCTGTATCCATCATAACAACTGTTTTTCTTCTAGGACGGTTATCCCAATCCCGTTCCACTGGAGGTCGCTCTGTTAATTCGAGCAAATCAAGGCCCCAGGGTTCCTGAGATCATCCAGTTTCTGGACTGGCAGGAGGAGCCTGACCGCTGCACGATGGTCCTAGAGAGACCCATGCCCGGTGAGGAACTGGACTGGTTTCAGCCAAACAGTGGTCACTGAAGAGGATTTGGCTTGGGTTATCATGCGGCAGGCAACAACTGCAGCTCAAACGTGCTGCAGACGTGGAGTGCTTCACTGCGGTTACCTTGTTATTACCTTCAACAGGTGTGAAGCTGAAGGTAATAATCAGATGTCTCTTCCTTCTTTCTGCACAGAATGCTGCGATTTTATTCGCTGTTGTCTGCAGAGCGACCCAAAGCAGCGGATTGAACTGGACAAACTCGGTCTCCACAACTGGTTTAAGGTATTAATTACATTTGACGCTGAATTTGACATTAGCTTTCTTATGCTACCTTTCAATACATACTGCAAATGTCCTACAGTCAGATGACAAATTTCAGCGCTGTATGTTTATACCTTCTGAAATATTTCCAGTTTCTTTGAATATGTTGCCTTTCTTTGTTTGGTTTTATGTTTTTGCTTTTTGTGCAATGTATTTAAAGACTAAACCTGATTTCTGTTTTTCTTTCAGAAAAAGAAAATAGTGTAATTTAAATGACAGGAAGCTCTGTGACGGCCATGACATGAACCTAATGCTGCTTCAAGCCCTCCCTCAAGAGTTTAATTTAGAAAAAATGAGCACCCGAGGACCGGCCGGGCCACCAGCTGAATTGTCATCCTGCTCTTGAGATCTGGACAAGATCAGTGATTACATTTGGACCAATGATGGCTTGTCACAAGGTGAGATCTTCACTTCAGCAAAGGTCAGTTTGTAAACTGAGATCTTACAAAGTAGAACAAAGCAAGAGAGCAGGTGTGAAGTTTAAGGTAATAATCAGACATCTCTCATTTGTTTTTTATTTGCTGTTTTCTGCAGAGCGACCCAAAAGAGCAGACTGAATTGGAGAAAATCAGTCTCCACAACTGGTTTAAGGTATTAAGTTTTTGACATTTTTAAGATTTTGACATTAGCTTTCTTACACATTACGTGCTGCTTCTGGCATGTAGTCAGATGACAAATTTAAGTGCTGATTTCTGATTTAACAAAAGTAAAGAAATATTTGATATATAAAATATTAAAAAAAACAAAGTATATAAAAATGAATATATAAAATAAAATATAAATAAACTTATATAACAAAATAATATAAAAATATCTATCTATCTATCTATATATATGAGCTATTTTTATAAAAACAAATATAATATATAAAAAACAAATATATATATATATATATATAATAGAACATAAATAAATATTTATAGTAATAAGAGCTTATATATAGTAGAATATATATATAATAGAACATAAATAAATATATATAATAAATGTATACATATATGAGCTATTTGAAAAACAAACAAACAATATATAAATACATACATATATAATAAAATATAAATAAATATATAATAAATATAAGCATATATTAGAGCTATTTGAAAGAAACTAACAATTTATAGGTAAATATATAATAGAATATCTATAGCAATTTAAATAAATAAATTAATTAATATTCTTTTTTTTCACTCTTTACATAAAGAGGATAAAGGGTCAGTCACATTTAACAGTACACAATAAAGAAAAGGAAAAATATTTTTAAAATGTAATTTAAAAAAACACTTGTCAAGTTTCAAGAAACAGATTTTTGTATTCACAATTATAAAGAAATGTTTGTATTATGAAGTTTTAAAAAAGGTAAATGTTTTTTTTAAGGTGGTGTTTACAAAACAGTTTTTTTTGTTGTTGAAAACTGTAAACATTTGATGAGTTTTGGCCATTCATTTACACAACAGTGGTAACAGGTTTCAAAGTGCAAGTATTTAAAACGATGACGTTATCACCTCAGCGAATTTGTGTGACGAAATTGTGACGTTGTGCATGTGTATTACGTGTTCCGTCTATAGGTATGTGCGCAGACTCGTAGTGTTTCTTTACAGTCACATCGCTAACTACATCTTCACCACCTGGCATGCATTATACAGCATCTAGTCGTTTTCATGGATCTGCGTGAACAAGAATCGTTTTGACAGCGTTGTTGTCTGTACACAAAACCTAAAAAAAAAAAACACTAAGGAAAAACCTTTTTGAGGAGTGATTTTTTTCAACCTTGTCTTGGCCTTAATCTTATTGTATCTTATCTGATAATTTGAGACTTATTGACTTTGTCCTTGTGTAATGTACAGTTCAGATATGAAGACTCACTTGTAAGTGACTGAATCAAATAGGATAAGCAATGCACATCATGTCACACTACAGGCTGTTCTTTCACACACTTCCTCTAACCCTTTCTTTATGCATCAGTATAAGAAACCTCTGCGAAATCTCCTGCACGGTAAGTGCTTTGACTGTACCTCATCTTAATTTTTCTCTATGTTGTTTGGACCACATGACTTTGGCGGTCATACCATATAACAGACAGTTAAAGGCACAATATGTAATTTTCGCCGCTAGAGGGCGCGTATTCAAAATAAACAAAGAGACAAAGGCGTAGTTTGATGAGGCTGTGACTGAGTGTGGAATCATGGGAGTTGTGGTCTTCATCCCCACAGCCGATGCAATCCGACGGGACTCGGGCAGAAATCATGTTCATGGATGAGCTAATGATTTATTAACATAGTAGAATGAAGCAGGGTGAGGCTGAAAGACTGCCTGTTAGATTTACCCAAAATGAATTATATTACGTTAACCACAACAGAGACATCAGAGCCAGAGTCAAATTTTCTCCCAAATTATTTTACTTAATCCCAGTCTTTCAACTGAAAGTGTTTATGGACATGTTCTTTGTAATCCTACAGGATTTAGAGGTAACTACCATCTATAGAAAGTAGCTATTTTTCATACTTTTTACATTTTACATTTTCATACATATGTTATACTTTTTTTATTTGTTAAACACACATTTACACACATTTCCATAATCAGCATATTTGGATTAGAAGTGTTCATACAATCAACAGATGTCAGGATAACACACTTAAAGCTTATCAAACATGATAAATGAAAGTTCAAACATGCTTGCTGGATACACAAGAACAAATGAGGTTTGTTCTGACGTGTCTCACGTCTTCTCATATCTCATATGGTTTGTTCTTGTGCTTCAAGCAAGTATGGTTGAGCTTCCGTTGACCATATTTTAGGTGCTTTATGTATGTGCGTTGATGTTATATGTGATTTAAAGCCTAAATTAAGTTTTTGGGTGAACTATCCGTTTAAAGTAAAACAAATTAATTAAAGATTATAGCTATGGAAATAAAACAATTTCATTCAGTCACCTTGTTTTTATTAACAAATATCATATATCGCTATATCACATGCACACAGAACCTTCATAGATTTTATCTGCAATGCTGAGTGATAGACCTGCAGTCTTCATTTAGGCTGATCGGATAAATGATGAGAACGATGATTTAGGCGTACCTGTAAAAGACAGAGATGGATCACACTTTAATATTCAGTACAGCTTTTCAACTTGTTAAATCATGCTGAAATCCACCATAAAATAACTCAAATTACTTGGTTATTTACCTTCCTGTAATTTATGTGTCCTTACTGAATACATCTTGGTAAGCGAACCATCTGTTAATTATTCTTTAGAATAATATAAATAATTATTAAAGATATAGATTTAAAAAAATGATAAGATGTTAACTGATGGACTGGAGTGGTGCGGATTATTGTGATGTTTTTATCAGCTGTTTGGACTCTCTTGGTTGACACGCCTGTTCAGCATCGCCTGCTAGGGAAAGCCTATGTCATAGTGCTGGAAAGGAGAATGCGACCGGTTGTCTCAGACCAGTGGACCAGCTTTTTACCCAGGCAAGAATCCCTGGAGGGGGCATGGGGAGTTTGTTTATCCAATCTACATGTGTCCTGTGGATTTGGAGAAGGTTTATGTCCATATCACTTGTAGGGGCCACTCCAGTAATATGGCGTGCCAGGGTCACTAATGCATGATATCCAATCTCTACACAACTGGTGTAAAAGCTGTGTTGGTGTTCTCAGCACTGTCAAGCTTGTTCCCAGTGAGTGCTGGACAGTGCAAGCATGCCCGTAGCCAGCAATGAGATCACCGAGGTCCGGACCTCTGTAACATTTTTCATGTTCAAAAATAAACATTTGCTCTCTGAATGAATAGTTTGCTGATTAAAACTCCTCATATGAGTGTCTGCATGTAAAATTCAGTTTAGACAGTTTGCAACAATGTTTAGCGTCCGTGGCATGAAAATGATCGCTGCGAGACACTGGCGGAGTGAACGAGGCTTGAGGGCGCAGCCTCCGCTGTGTTGCCAGATCCTGCTATTATAGGCGTTTTTGGACTTGTATTTTCCACTTAATTTGACAATTAAAAAGTTAATAAAGTGGGAAGTTGCAGTTTAGTCAGTGATATCCTTTTCTTATTTGCAAAATATATAAAAAAAAATGTTGTTTATTTTTTATTTATTATTTGTTTTTTATTTGTTTTTATAGCAATATCAACACTTGTAGTAATCAAAAGAGCCATGGACAGGTTATTGCCGACAGGATACCACATTCGGTATGGCAAACGCAAAAAACATCATGCTATTATCTATTAGAAACGTTATCAAAAACAACAGCATTTAACACTAGTACACAGATCTGTAGAACAAGTAGGTTACAGAACAAAATGAAATAAACACTAGCCATGAAGAAGTCTATACCATTTCATTCAGTATAGTCGTTAAATTTTAAACCTATAGCTGGTTTAAGCTGGTCATGAGCTGGTTTAAGCTGGTTCTTAGCTGGTCATGTGCTGGTCCTAAGCTAGTCCTAAGCAACTAGCTCCTGCTCAGGACCAGCTTAAACCAGCTCATGGCCAGCAGCCATGCTTCAAAACATACCTAACCAGCAAATGCTGGATTTTTCAACAGGGTATATAATGAGTTGTATTTGTAGGGGTTATTATAGCTTAACCCCACACCAGACCTCACTAATTTTCAATCCCTGGCTACAGCCATGAGTGCAAGGGCTGTTCCTTGTCACCGATCCAGTTTGTGATATTCATGGATGGGATCTCAAGGTGAAGCCAGGGGTGGTATTTGTCCAGTTCGGGTGTCTCAGGGTGGCATTCCTGCTTTTTGTGGATGATGTCGTCCTGATGTCTTCATCAGACTGTGACCTTCAGTAATTATTGGGCGATTTGTGTCCGAGTGTGAAGCAGCGGGAATGATGGTCAGCAACCTTCAAATCTGAGGCCATGGTTCTCAGCCAGAAAAAAGTGGATTGCCTGGATTGGGTAGGGCGTGAGTTGCTTTCCCAAGTAAAGGAGTTCAAGCACCTCGGGATCTTGTTCACAAGTGAGGGTAGATTGGAGCATCAACAGATGGATCAACAGGTGGAATGGTGCGACGGCAGCAGTAATGTGTAATGTTGTTAAGCCTGAAGACGAAGCTCTAGATTTGACCTATGGTCATGAGCTCTAGGTAATGACCAAAAGAATGAGATTCGGGTACAATGGGACCCAGTACAAGCTGGAGGGATTATATCTCTCGGCTGGCCTGGGAACGCCTTGGGATCACCCAGTCCCTGTCCTGGATAAGCGGCAGAAAATGGATGGGTGGGTAGATGTTTGGACTCCCATTCATTGGCACCCATTCAGAGGATCCATTGTTGAGCAAGTGATGTGATGCTAAAATTCTCCAAATCTTTTTCCATGAAGAAACAAACTCATCTACATCTGGGATGGTGCGAGGGTGAGTCCATTTTCAGCAAGTTTTCATTTTTGGGTGAACTATTCCTACTTAGTCATTGTCGGGTGTAAAGAAGGCCAAGGATTTCCACAGAATACACTGAAGAATTGGAAAGCCTGTCATTGCACACATGCTTAGTCTTTTGTGTATCTACTACATTGTACTGCCTAATTCTGCAGATTTTCCCCCAATTCACTGCAGATGAATTAAAAGAAAGCACAGTCCATCTGGACCCGCTCATAACAAACTATTTATATTTAATTGGTTTGACTAAAAATAGCTTTTCTTGTTTTCTCTGTGTGGGACATTGATTAAAACAGTGGAAGACAACTCTAGGCTTTATAAACTTTTATAACCTGATTTCCTGTGGTGCTTACCGAAAAAAAAGATTTTTCAAATCCAGTGAGTTCCCAGATTTGAATCCAGACTGATCAACCACAGCAGTGATGTGAATGTCATAGCTTTGTCTATAAAAGAGATTTACAGTTAGACAAAATGTTGTTGCAGCAAGGTTGCATACTACTACCTGTATATAGTCCTGACTAAAGGTTCATTAATGCTTCAAATTAGTTTGTAAACACATACAAAAGATGGATACTTTGAAGAAGCTGCAATATAAGACATTTGTGATTTATTTAAAATTTCCCTAATTCTGTTCCAGACCAGTCTGTGCGTTGTTTGGTGACATGCAAAAAATTACTCTTTGGCTGTTTGAGTACAAGAAATTAATGTATATTAAGATACTCAAAATTCTTTTGAAGCAAAATGGAATGCAAAAACAATATTTGTTATGGTTTCCCATTAACATCTCCAGTAGTTTACCCTGCTACATTTTACTTCCGTGTTCCAAACCCAGAAATCGTATGTACCCTTCGTCATATGCATGAACAAAGTTAGTCGTACCTCTTGTTTGCTATTAGGTGAACCCGTCCAGATAACGTCTGTCCCATTTTAGCAAACAGAGGGGTCTGCAGAAGACAGCGTACCTGATACCATTGAGTCAAAGGCTCATTTGGAGCAGTGGACAGCCATACTGTCATCCTGTACAAAAAACATTATTAATACTTTCAAGCATGTTGTCTTCATGCACCTTTCCTTTCATAATTGTGACTCTCACCTTGAGCCAACAAAGGCCACATCAAACCAAAAAGCAAGTCCATGAATCAGCCCTGACTGCAGCAGTTTGAAGACAAAAGGAATTTCCAACCTGTGAATTACATACATTCACTACAGATATTAAAACACTGTTCAGTAACAGCCATTCCATAAGTTTGTCTAACCTGAAATCAACCACCACTTTTCAGAAATATCTTAACATATTTACTAGAAAAGTTGCTAAAAACACATTGTATTTTGGCAGTTTTATATATTGACAAAGGTGCACTTATTTTTGGCACTGCTAAGAATGCCAAATACATTTACAGTGATGTGCACTGACATATATGTTATAAACTGAAAATTAAAATGGTGAATTTCTTAATAGACTTTTCCTAAAAATGTGCATGCTACTGGTGTGCTTGAGCTTGTAATTTCTGCATGCTGCTATATTCTTGAACTGTCATTACCGGTGTAAATCTTCTTCTTTTGCCTCTAGAAAGTTGATTGTGTATTTCACAGACCTGGCCATGAGAACCTGCATATCGAATGTGTCCTGAAACACAAAGACATTAAGACCTTCTCTGACAACGTTATGATGCAATCAGAGAACCAGATTCATGGATGCTGTACATGTTGTAGTAGTCAGTGTATGTAGACTCACAACTATTGGCTGTCTGAAGAACTCATCCACAGCAGAAGAAAGAAGCCCACTCAAGTTCACACCATAGAAACATCTCTGATTCCTGGTGTAAAATCAAATTCAAACATGTTTCCAACAACTGTTATCTTGAGATCATTTTTAGGGCCATGGTTCACAACATTTTTGACTCCAGTGCCATCTTATTTTGTCCCCCCACCCACCATGTAGGATAATATGTTTCCTGCATTTTACAATTTTAATCTGTGAACACTCCTAGTTTCTGTACATTAATAGTGTTTTCAGACCTGTAGATTGTTTGCTTTGGTCCGAAACAGTGACTTTAATTGTTAAAATATTGCATTCTTCTTGCATTTTTATAGCTGTCGTGGTTTTCAACTGCGATAACTAATGTGCTCACCCACAGAATCTGTCACTGCTGTGTTTTATGTAACACATTTCCCATTATAAATTGATACTGCTTGATTCGTTGATCTGTTGGGTCGCATTACTTTCTCTCCACATCTGGGCTAAGACCACCTCCTTCAGGCAATCTCAGACCTCATATTTTGGTGCAGATTTGAGTGCAACTGCCATGATCTTGAGCCTAAACCAGGGGTGTCTAAACTCAGTTCTGCTGTTACTCAGTTACTTTTTTAACTATTGCTGCTATGTAACTACCCTGTACAACCTGTTTGCACATTCTTCTCTTGTACATTCCTGCTCATCTTAATATTTATTACGTCTATACTGTCCTGCGCATTTTATTTTATTCTTATTTTTTAAATCTTTTTTCCATACCTATATTTATATATAATTTTCATGTGTTTGTATTCTTTAATAATTGCACTGTCCATGGAGCGGACCTGACTTACATTTCACTGCTGGTCATATATTCTCTATATAACCATGTATGTGACAAATAAAAATCTTGAATCTTGAATCTCTTGATGGGCCAGTGTCCTGAAGAGTTTAGCTCCAACTTGCAAACCTGCCTGGAAGTTTCTAGTATGCCTAGTAAGACCTTGATTAGCTGGTTTGGGTGTGTTTAATTAGGGTTGGAGCTAAACTCTGCAGGACAGGGCCGTCCTGGACCAAGTTTGGACACCTCTGGCCTAAATGAACTGAACCAGTGGCCTAATGGATGGAGAGTACTTGTAACCCGAAGGTCACGGGTTTGAGTCTCAGGTCCGGCAGGGATTGTAGGTGGGGGGAGTGAATAACCAGCGCTCTCTCCACCTTCAATACCACAACTGAGGTGAGACCCTTGAGCAAGGCACCAAACCCCCAACTGCTCCCCGGGCGCCGCAGTATTGGCTGCCCATTGCTCTGGGTGTGTGTTCACGGTGTGTGTGTGTTCAATGCTGTGTGTGTGCACCTGGATGGATTAAATGCAGTATGGCACACCATACTTGGCAACACGTCACTTCACTTTTCACTTTGAAAAGTGTCCGAAAAACAAACTCTAAATGAGCCAGGTGTGTAAATGTCTTTTGAATTACAGACATTTTCAGGACTTAATGTTCTTTAAGATTCCCACTCTTTTTTTGAGTCATCATGAAACGGAACATGCGAGTAGTCTTTTCTTCACTATTGTGACATATATCTGAGTGAAACGTTTACTGGAATGTATGGTGGGATTTCAACCTTCGCCGGGAGTTTGATTGACAGGCGATCTAACCAATCACAATGCCGAATCAACCATTTTGTCTGACAAACAACCCAAACAGGAGAGTTAGATTAACATCAGTGGACTATGGTGTATTGTCGTCTTTCCACAGTTGAGACAACATAACTCTAATGTTCATACATGTTTATTTCATGCTATAACTAGTAGTAAAGCGGAAGAGACAATCTGTTCACATGCCACTTGAACTGAGGCGATTGCGTTCTCACACATCATCATGCAGTGAAAAATACATCGCAGAGCAAAGAGGACACTGACAATGCGCTGACAGACAAGACAGAGCGGGCTACTTTTGGTATTAAACAAAGTCTCAGCTTTCAAATGTTGTCCTTTTTTTTTTTTAAATTCAAACATTAAATATTATTTTTGGGGCTCTTTAATGTTACAGATCACTATAACTGCTAGTTATAACATGAATGAACATCAGAAGGTATGTCGTCTCAACCGTGGAAAGATGTCAATACACTTGTGATGTGCGGATGGTGGTTATATCCGCAGGCCCCATGGGTCGGGTAATAAAAAAATACATTCTAATTAATTGAGGGTGGGTCGCGAGTGGATGAGATAAATAATTAGTGATGCAAATATTCTCTAAAATATGAATGTGCTTTAAATGCATTTTTTCATCAGGCAAACAGACACACATTTCATTTTTGTGTGTGTTCGCCTGTTCGAGAAGTTGCAGTGACAGAAACAGTGACATTCCAGATAAAGTTTGAAGGGAGTAAAGCCTGTGTTTATGCTATTATGAAAGTGTAGGCTATAATCTGGCCAAAGAAGAACTTTTGTTTTATAATTAAATGTTCATTTAAAAGCAGCCTATTATCAGTGTATTGTTACCGTTGCCCTCACAGCTCTGACGACGTTTTGCTCCGTCCCAGATTTTGGGATGCTTCAGAAACGTGCAGCGGCACGGCTCGTATAAACACAAGCATTGACTAGAATGGCCGCGATCAGCTCCGGTGGCTGCGTCGGAGCCGTAATGCACCGCAGACATGTGCATCGATGTGCAGGATCAGCTCTAACGTCACTGAATCTGCTGTTAAAAATGAACCATCCATTCATCATATCATCATGCAAAATTAAGAATTAGAATCAGTGTAATGTGACGATCGGGTGCAGGTCGGGTTGGTTATCTAAATTAGAGAAAAATATAGGTGCAGGTAGGTGGTGGGCGGATAATTTATTTGAAGCAGCGGATTCGGGTGACATTTGAGCTCATCCGCGCATCTCTACAATACACCGTTTACAAGTTTGACTCTACTGACGTTAATCTATTAACTTGGCTGTCTGGTTTGTTTGTCGAACAAAATGGCGGTTTCGGCATTATGATTGGTCAGATCGCCTGTCAATCAAATGCAAAGGGTGCTAAAACCATGGTCATTGGACAGTCAGCCTAGTTGTTTATGATGTTTATGATTAAAGATTAAAAGTGCAAATAAAATTTTTTCAAAGTAATGATGTACACGGATAAATCATTTATAATAAATACTTTAACACTGTGTTAAAAAAAACACAATTGTAATTTTTATTTCATGGTGACTTTAATCAGTGAATTTTCATGACTGGTTCCTGATTTAGTGGATAAGGATTTTTAAAAATATCTTTTTCTTCACAATTTTTACCTGATAAAATATTTTAGAGCTTGGAATAAAAATAAAGCAAACATGTGAGGGGTGTACTCACTTCTGTGAGATACTGTATATTTATTTATTATAAAAACGCCCATGGTGTTTGAAGATTTTATTGATTTAGATGACATTTCCAGGTCTAAAACTTAGATGATTAAAATTAGACTAGCTCATATATCAAGATTTTCCAAGACCGTGGGAATCCTGGTTCTTCAAAGACGAAAAACAGTTGTTGAGGGGGTTCATTAAAATAAGAAAGACATATTTTAGTTGTTCTAGCTCATTTAAATGCTTGTCTTGTCTTATTTCTACATCTTGAGGCCCGTTTGGAAGTTTGTAGAAATACAAAGTGGGCCCCTGTTGAGCACCCTTGTTTTAGAGGAGTGGTTTTATCACTATGGAAACCAGTGGGTTTCGACAAGAGGAAAGAACAATGTTAAATGCTAATAATATACAACTATCCATATATTATACAATGGCTATCAAGAGAGAATCTTTTTTTCCCCACATATCGGTGTAGTTCTGGTATAACCAGCCAAAGCTTAATATCATTCCCAAAAGCTCAGAAGCTCTACAACTTAAGCCAAAAAAGAGATCTAAGTTTCAAAGCTCTACAGATGAACATCATGTACCCACTGCAAAACATGAGACTTTTCTGTTCTAACACAAATATTGGGTGTTCAACTTGACATGACACCTGGTAACATTATCTGTCATAAACTCCTCACAGTCATTCGAGTTTAACAGCACAGACAGAGAGGAGTGAGCTCTGTGCCATGAGCCAGGTTTGGATTGAAGCACAGTGTTTTACAGCACCGGGAAGCTGCTTGGCTTCAGTTTGGTCACGGCACGGTGCAAGTACAGTGCAGGCATGTGGACGGTGGGACCATTACTGTCTTTCCATGCTAGCAAACCACAACCCCTTGTGGGCCATTGTAAAATAAACCATCATGGATGAAGCTGTAAACATTCAGTGTGATGCATTGAGAGGGTCTGTAGCAGCATGTTCATGTGTACTATTAAAGAAATGTTCCATTTGTGGAAAAACACCCATTCCCGTAGATAATAATTTTGGTTCTAATAATTCTAATAATTTTGATAAGTTTTATTTTGTAGAGCCAAAAAATGTCCACAGTAGTACAGCACATGAGCCAGTTTTTGGGAAGGCCTAAATACATAGAGGAGTAATTCGTACTTTTGTTAAAGACCTTTTTTAAATTATGAAACAAATTAATTATTCAGTAAAACCTAGTTTATTGTGAAGCAGTAAAATCAAAAGTTATATGCTTTATCATTCATTGTATGTTAATGTAAGATCATGTTTTTTTTAGGTCTATGAACATATGGTTATGTGTTATCAATGTTTGACTTTTTGCAAAGCCCCACCACCAATCCTCCTTTAGCCACTTTGGCATTTTATCATGCAAGCTTTTGCTCTTTTCTAATGTACACCACTGTTCAAACGTTTGGGGCAACAAGATTATTTAATGTTTTTGAAAGAAGTCTCTACTGCTCACCAAGGCTGCATATATTTGATCAAGAATACAGTAAGAACAGTCATATTATTTAATATTATTGCTATTTAAAATAACTGTTTTCTATGTGAATGTATTGTAAAATGTAATTTATTCCTGAATTTTCAGCATCGTTACTCCAGTCTTCAGTGTCACATGATGTTGTAGTGTTGTTGTACTGCTTCATATTTTTGTGGAAATGTGATACTTTTTCAGAATTATTTGATGAATAGAAAGATCTTTACTGTCACTTTTGACCAGTTACATCTTTGCTGAATAAACATTAATTTCCATTAAAAAAAACGTACTGACCCCAAACTTTTGAACAGTAGTGCAGAAGAATCTACCAGTTGCAATCGTAAATAGTAATTGAGGCCTCTTTTCAGTGTGCAGTAAGCATTTGCCTTGACTCTGATTCACAGATATCAGCAGATATGTTGCTTTGAGATGTCACACACAGAAGTGTAGTCTGACATTGGTGTAACTTTTGTCAAACGCTCTAATGCGTATTTGTGTTTGCTTTCTGGAGAGTGTCAAAGGTTTCTATTTACAACGTTGAGCAATGCAGCCAATCACAGACATATCTGTTGATTTCTTGAATGCAATGGCCAGAAGCTTTTCAGTTAAAATCCACTCAATACTCAAAACACCTGAGTTTTTGTTCAGTGTTGAGTTCTGTGTACTCGTGCGAATCCTCTCATTGTGTAGATATGATGCAAATTGTGCAGTTTAGAGAGCTTCATCAGTTATAATGGAGCTTTGCGAGATCGCGATGAAGTGGAGTGACAGCTTTTAGTGATTATAAAGAGAGCGCTCTGTGCGCTTTATAGGCTATATACTGTATAATCCATTCAGAATTTGAACAAAAGCCTCATTTTTCAAGCTGATAAGAGGAACAACGGCCATGTTGCAAAGTGTCAGGAATGACATCCGCAAATAAATGCGGGATTCACTCTCAAAATCGCATATAGTGCATGAGCCATATGAACCATTTCTATTTATTTTCATCGTCCACATTTATTGTAATTGCAAGGAAGTAGGGATGCAAAACGATTAGTCGCGATTAATTGATTCTAAATAAAAGTTTATGTTTACATACTATATGTGTGTGTACTGTGTATATTTATTATGTACAGTGCCTATAAAAAGTATTCATACCCCTTCATTTTTTCACATTTTGCTATGTTGCTGCCTTATGTTAAACTGCTTTAAATTACTTTTTTTCCACATCAATCTACACTCCATACACCATAATGGTAAAGCAAAAAACTCTTTGCAAATTTATTAAAATAAAAAACTTAAATGATTCCATTGCATAAGTAATCACAGTATCAGGACAGTTAATCTGCTTGTAGATGTTACTACACTTCGAGTGAAATAAACCTGTGGCAAATTCAATTGAATGGACATGATTTAGAAAGGCACACTCGTCTCAATAAAAGGTCTAACAGCTGAAAATGCACATCAGAGCATAAACCAAGAACTGCCTGTAGAGCTCAGAAACAGGATTGCATCAAGCCACACATCTGGGGAAGAGTTCAGAAAAAATTCTGCTGCATTGAAGGTTCACAGAAGCATGTAGT